TGAAGTGGATTCTCCCCTTTTTCATCTTTCCGGCGCAAAAGGCCTGGCTTTTTTTTCGCTATTTGTTTCAATATTTCTGAAATTAATTTAACTCGAATGAAAATAGATCAAATAATGAAAGAAACACTAGCATGTTAGAAGGGAAAATATATGAATGAGAAGGGAAAAAAATCATTTTACTTCTCTCTTCCTTGGACAGCGGCGTGCACAGGAGACTTTCCTTCTAGCTTGTTAAGTAAATCAACATCATCACGTACAGTATCCATTAGAGTAGTGAGCATCTTCTCATCGCTATTCTCGACTGCAACATACAAGGGAGACTTACGTTCATTGTTTTCTGTATATAAAAGCTTCGAGCTCTCCGAAACAAGAAAACGGGCCAAAATGTCGTGCCCATTAACGACTGCATCATGTAAAGCTGTGTTTCCCCTATTATTCTTCATCTCCAAAAAGTTAGGAAAGTCGCTGGCTCCTCCATGGCCTTTTGCCTTGTTGATAAGAACTGTTGTAGTTCCCAGCTGTCCAGCTCCGGCTGCTAAATGAAGTGCAGTATCATCGTGGAAGTTTTTCCTCACCATTAGAAGCGGAAAATGTTGTAGAAGGAGCTCCGTCACATGTTTGCTTCCATTGCTTGCTGAAACATGAAGCAATGAATTTCCAGAAGGGCTAACTTGTGTGTAAATGATGGATGATAGTTCCGCTGATGAAACACACCGCAGTTCACCAAATAATTCATCAGATTTGTCTTCTGCTGCGTACTTGTACAACTTCTCATCCATCATTTTCTTTGGGTCATCATCACGTGGTATTTCGGGTGGGAAACTCTCTGGCTGCCACTTCCGGCACTCCTCATCTCTCTGATTCGAGGATTGTCCGCATATGTTTATCGATAATTCCATAACTCTGATTATGAAATGGTTCTTGGATGTAGCTCTATTGTTGCAACAGTGGCAGCGAGAGGTTCTTAGAAGGTTTTTAGTGCAACGGTGACAATTTATTTCTTGAATTAGCTTTGTTGTTGCCACCAAGCTGGTCTTCTACTTATAGAAGGAGAGAGTAATGGTGCTGTTACTTAGAATCCAAGTACAGTGTTAGCAATCGGGCTCAAACAAGATACACACTGGCCTTAATTAAACTAATTAATGCCATCACTTTAGGCACCAAACTGATAATCTTAGAAAAAAAAAAAAAAGCAAGGCTTTAACAAGATCATCGTACAACACCATCGCTGTAATAAAATAATTAACATTTAACAAGGAGAGTGATCTTTTGAAAGTAGAAAAAGAAGGCCTAAAAACAATGAGATGAGACGGCATTAATTTGTCCAGCTTACTTTGTGGATTCTTTTACAGTCTTGAACCAGCAAAAGGACTCGAATTTTGCATGCAAGAAATTATACAAATTAATGTGCATGGATATACAAAGAAGATCACCTTCTGCATGCAGTAGATAATGCGAAAAAGTGAAGAAAGGTCCATTTTGATTCGCCAGCAATGATACCAAGAGCAGTGGAGGAGGCAGGGGGGGCTGGGCCCCGGCTCCTGCAGGAAATTTTTTTCCCAGCCTCCTTTTTTATAAATATTATAAAAATAATTAAAAATTTAACTTTGTTTCCTTAATTTTTAATTTGACCCCCTTAGTTTTTTTTTCTTGCTCCGCCCCTGACCAAGAGTACTTACCCTTCCCATGATTAGACGGAATTGAGAACCTGTTGATTCGGCCTAGCTTGTAAAAACTACAAGTTAGCATTTAGATGGGGATTTTTTTTTAGACATATTGATTTACGCAGATTATTTGAATGGCTAACATATATATTTTATGGAATATTAGCAAATATCTAAATGCAAAAGGAATTTTATTTCTGTGTGAGACAATGATAATATGATATAGCTTAAAATAGAGTTCACGAGAAATATGCTTGTTAAATTAGGTTTAAATTTTTTTAGATGATTTTATTAATAATTTTTTTAAGAAGAGTTGCTTCGAACGCTTATTGGATCATTATATCTTCTCGAATTAGACGTATAAATTGTTGTGTTGATTAATTTTGTTATTTTTTTTAGTTTTTTGAATTTATTATCCTAATTTTCTTTATACTTTGAGAGTCTTAATTGTTTTTTTTTATAGATGTAGGATTTTCTAACTTATTTAAAACATCCTGTAAATATTTTAGAAGAAATACTTCAATAGCTTTATTTTGTTGAGGAATAAATTACAAATTTACAGCTAATATCTATAATCATTTTCGCTTATGAAATTTTCTTGTCCTTGTAACTTCTCTGCATCAAGAGCATGCAAAGAGAACTCTTTTTTATTTGTCTCTCTCTCTCTCTCTCTCTCTCTTCGCATGAAAGCATATTCTCCTTGCACTACTTTATTCTTTCACATCATTCTTTTACTTTTAAATGGAAATTGTGAGGAACGAGCAACACATAGGCCTCCAAGGTAGAGTGACGGGGTTTGTTCTAATATTACTTCTTTTTTGTAGTACTGTTATCATATCAAGCATAAAGTCAGACAAAAAATTTTAAACAAAATAAGCATAATATTTGGACCACACTTAAATTGAAACAAGGTGTTCTACGTTGAGATCGGGAAGACTTTTAAATTATGGTTAGAAAATATTTTTAGTATTTTCTTAGATAATTTTAGAATTTTTAAAACTATTGTAGGTTTTGTATTCCTTCCCAAATTAGATTTGTTTAGTGACTATTTAAACAATTATAAGTTATTTTTAGAGAATCATTCTTTTCTTTTTAAATAGAGATTGTGATGAATGTGCAACATAGAGGCATCCACGGTGGAGTGAACATCTTGTTTTAATATTATCTTCTTCTTTTTTTAATAATACTTTTATCACATCAAGCATAAAGCATAAAGTTTTGGTCCGGTAGATTTTGAAAAAGGTGAGCTGTATATTTGGATTTCTTGCATCAGTACATGGAATATAAAAATTTAGACAGGATGTTCTACATATCTTATACCCTATATAACTAGATAAGTTTGAAAGATTTTCGAATTAGGATTAGAAAAATATGTTTTTGAATTCTTAGTACTTTCTTAGATAA